TTGGCTGTTCAAAACATTACATAGTTCTTGATATATCATATTTCACAATTTGATTCAAGTGGGTTATGAGCTCCCATTTTTACCCCATATACAGATTGCAGAATCACATCAGTTACACATCCATTGATTTACATATTGCCATACTAGTGTCTGTTGTATTCTGCTGCCTTTCCTATCCTCTACTATCCCCCCTCCCCTCCCCTCCCCTCTTCTCTCTCTGCCCCCTCTACTGACATTCGTTTGTCCCCCTTGTATTATTTTTCCCCTTCCCCTCACTTCCTCTTGTATGTACTTTTGTATACCTCTGAGGGTCTCCTTCCATTTCCATGCATTTTCCCTTCTCTCTCCCTTTCCCTCCCACCTCTCATCCCTGTTTAATGTTAATCTTCTTCTATGACAAAAGATAATCAAGCCTCCTTCCTCCATACAATATTAGTATTGTTGATGTGTTTTCTCCTGTCTAGGATAGAAGAGGCCTCTATTACTTTACAACAAAATCTTCTTTGGATGTTGGTGCTCTGGATTACCCTTAGATCAGGAACTGTCTTCTCAGTTCTGGCTCATACTGAGTTAAAAGCTGATTTAAATCTATCCTTGTTAGATGAAATCTTAGTTATTCTCCTAATTCTGGGTCAAATGTAAATCTTCTAAACAATAGGTTTTTTTCAGCCAGGAACCATGGTGCACCTGTAATCCCAACAACTCAGGAGGCAGAGGCCGGAAAGTCAAAAGTTTGAGGCCAGACTCAGCAACTTAGTGACACCAGGTTTGGAAAAAAAAAAAATGGTCAGGGATTGTAGCTTGGTGGCAAAAAGCCCTGGTTTCAATCCCAGTACAACCACAACGGCAAAAAAAAAAAAAAAAAGCGCCAAAAAACCACACAGAGTTAAGTACAGTTCACTTTGTTGTGCAGTGTTAAACCTTAGAAAGAAGACAGGACTGTATCAATTTAAGGTAACCATTCTTGTTGTAAAACAAGGCACTACAGTAACATTACTTTCAAGTGTCAGCAATAAAGTTAACAAACCAGCAATGATTTTTCATTTAATTCTCTTCCAACTCTACAGACGTAATATGGTTTTAACAGGGGATATACCTCCTCTTCTAAGAATCTTTGTTCCTGTGGGGGGGCACGGCCAATGGAAGAAGAAGGATCCAGTAAATGCTGCAACTGGGGTGAAGGGGACTCAAGTAGGCATCAGACTGGATTCGTTCTATGAGGTCATTGTCATCCCCTTCCTGCTTCACAACATCAGCTGCTTGCTGGGAAAGCACTCTAATTTTCTCATGGCGATCCTGGTGGCTACCCCCAGCTTTGACCATGGCCATGATGATGTTCTCTGTAATCATGAAAGGCAGTTCCTGCCTATTGCGTCATTCAATGACTTTGGGGTACACCACCAGTCCTTCAGAAATGTTTTATAGTGTGTTCAATATAGTATCTGCCTATGAAATACCTCAGCCAAACAGATTCGGCGGTTGGCACTATCATCCAGTGTGCGTTCAAACCACTGCACAGAAGCTGTCTGCAGTGGATCCATGAGAAGGGTCATCAGGTGACGGGCAAGGCTGCAGCAGCGTTCTGAGCGCATGGGGTTCCTCTTGTATGGCATTGCACTCGAGCCAATCTGCTGATTTTCAAAGAGTTCCTCTGTCTCCTTGAGATTTTCCAGGAGGTGTATGTCAGTGCAAATATTGTGCCCTGATACTCCCAAGCTAGCCAGCACGGACAACACCTCGATGTCTACTTTTCGTGAGTACGTCTGCCCTGGGATGATAAAAGCCCTCTTGAACCCTGCCTTTTCTGACACCAACTTGTCCAGCTGTTCCACCTTTTGGTGATCTCCCTCAAAGAGCTGCAAGAAACTAGCCTGAGTGCCAGTGGTGCCTTTCACTCCACGGAAGCGCAAGTTCTGGAGATCCATGCAAAGACCTTGAATCCAAAGACAGCAACATTTTCCAACTGTGGTCAGTTGGGCAGGCTGGAAATGTGTAAAACCTAAGGTAGGAAGATTGGCATGTTCCTTAGCAAAGTCGGCAAGCCGAGAGATCACTCTGGCAAGCTTCAGCCAAAGCAGGTCAAAAGCATTTCTAAGAATAATCAAGTCTGTGTTGTCTCTAACATAGCAGGAGGTGGCATCCAGGTGAATAATGCCTGCAGCTTTTGGACAGCAGTGGCCAAATGTATGTACATGAGCCATAACATCATGTCGCAACTGCTTCTCTTCTTCAGCTGTCATCTTGAAGTCCATGTTGTCCAAGTTTGATTTCATCTCCTGGATTTGTTCATTTGTTATAGGCAAACCCAATGTCTGCTCAGCCTCTGTCAGCCACAGCCAGAGCTGCCGCCTGTTGCTAAAAACGAAGCACTTCTCGAGGCTGGTGTAGCTGGAAGCAAGCAGTGAGTGGTAGCTGTCAAGCACGAGCCAGTCTTTGTACTGGGGATTGAACTTGGGGGCACTTGACCACTGAGCCACATCCCCAGCCCTATTGTATACTTTATTTAGAGACAGGGTCTCACTGAGTTGCTTAATGCCTTGCTTTTGCTGAGGCTGGCTTTGAACTTGCGATCCTCCTGCCTCAGCCTCCCAAGCTGCTGGGATTGTTGACATGCGCCACCATGCCTGGCAGTCTTTAGTTTTTAAATAAAGCACACAATGACTATTGTGGTAAAAATAAAACAGATAATGGCTAAAACTAAACATTTTCAGTTTTGTTGCTGACTTGCGAATAATAGAATTAAATATTGGCAGAAGGAAAATCTGCAAAATTCTTTAAGGCAGATGGACTCAGAAATAAGTCTATGAGAGAAAGTTGCTCATGCTGGCAGCTCTGATTAGCTAAAAAACAGAAACAAACAAAATCCTGATTGAGAAATGAGTTCTTTCTTTAGAATTTTGAGGGGAAAATTTGATTTTTATAGGAATGATTCCAAGAAAATAAAGATGAAAACTACTTGAAATAGTTTGACCTCAACATATGCAAAATTGACCATTTATTGATTTGCTCAACAACTACTTATTTAAGTCAAATTGGACTACTGAATTTCTCTTAATACTTTCTTGCTGGAAATGTATCAATGTTGAGATGATTTTGACTAAAATGTTTGTGTCCATAAACTTTTCAGAGTCAATTACTTCTGGGCTTGAAATGACTTTCATTATAAAAGCTCCACTGGGTGAAAACATTAAGGCCAACTTACCAGAATTGACATGGTAGGATCAGAAGTCTCTACAACTGTATGCCTATTATCCCAGTGAATCAGGAGATTGATGCAGGAGGATTACAAGTTCAAAACCAGTCTCAGCAATTTAGTGAGGCCCTAAGCAACTTGGTGACACTCTATCTCAAAATAAAAATATGAAAAGGGATGGGGATTTGGTCAGAAGTTAAGCACCCTTGGGTTCAATCTCTGGTATACCTCCCCAAATTAATAATAATAGTAGTAATAAAAATTTAAAGCCAGGCACTGTGGAGCACACTTGTAATCCCAGCAACTGGGGAGGCTGAGGCGGGAGGTTCATGAGTTCAAAGTCAGCCTCAGCAAAAGTGAAGCACTAAGCAACTCAGCGAGACCCTATCTCTAAATAAAATACAAAATAGGACTGGGGATGTGGTCAGCGGTTGAGTGCCCCTGAGTTCAATCCTTAGTACCAAAAAAAAAAAAAAAAAAAAAAAAAATTAGCAATTAAAAATAAGTGCTGCAGATGTAGCTTAGTACTAGAGTATGCCTGGGTTCAATTCCAATACTGAAAACAAAGTTTCTAACATAAAAATTATTTTAACTTGTGTTTGAAAGTATTTTTATTATAAAAATAACAAAAAAGTTAAATGAAGAAAATAATCATCTGTAATATCACCATTGAAATAAAACCTCTGTTAAACCCTTTGGTATAACATTTTACTTTTCTTTTTAGTGTATGGAATTTTAGACATAGTTGTGATAATACTTCATATGTAATTTTCATATTGATTTAAAAAATATTTTAACTTTAGGTTTTTAGCATTCTCACTTTATTCCCTTATTTTTGCAAATAATTCTTTTTAAAAGCTGAGGAGAATTTACTCCTGTTTCCTTTTGGCTGGGCATATAGGGATTTGCCAGTTTTGTAGTCTATAGAAATAATGCTATATATCATTTCACATACAGATTTTCCTATATTTAGAATTATTTTGTTAGGACAGGTTCTCAGAAATGGGATTACAGAATCAAAGACCTTTTTTTTTTCCTTAAATATGGAAAAAACAGATTGAGCCTCATCAATAGAATCCTGACCAGAAATGAGACAAGTGAAAAAGCAACTCGAATAATTCACCACAGCCTCTCTGTAATTCATTTACATATTCCTTCTTTGATTGGAAGTTTGCGGTATTTGAGGAAGATCAAAGAGTTTTGGGTTTTAAAGTAATTTTTATTTTCATCAAGGTAATATATTTTGCATGATTAACTACAAAGCTCATAAAAAATTGGACCCCTGCCCTGTCCTTCCCCATTCTCAAATTCCCAGTTTTAATTCTTTCAATACTTCCTTGAGTATTTGTCTTCATATTTCTAAATAATATCCCTAAAATGCCATTTCTATTTCTTGTATGCACAAATTTTAGGCTTTCTAATGTGGAAGATGAAAAATTTTAAATGATTAATTTTTTTAGTTGACAAATAAAAATTCTTTATGTTAGATAACCTGGTATTTTGAAATATACCTGCATTTAGAATGAATAGAAATGCACACCCGTGATCCCAGAGGCTTGGGAGGCTGGAGCAAGAGGATAGCAAGTTCAAAGCCAGCCTCTGCAAGTTAGTGAGGCCCTAAGCAACTTAGTGAGACCCTGTTTCTAAATAAAATACAAACAAAGAGCTGGGTTGGGGGGAGGCTGTTGCTGTGACTCAGTGATGGAGCATTCACCTGGCATGTGTGAGACACTGGGTTTGATCCTCAGTACCACATAAAAAATAAAATAAAGGTATTGTGTCCACCTACAACTAAAATATATATATTAAAAAAAGAGGGGGCTGGGGATGTGGCTCAGAGGTTAAGTGCCTCTATTCCCATAAAAATTAAATCCAGAATGGCTAAATTAAGTTAAAGCATACACATTATTTCACATACTTTTTGTGTGTGTGTGTGGTCAGAACACATAAAAGTTATTCTTTTTTTAAAAAAAGCTATTCTTTTATCAATTTCCAAATATATAATACATATAACACAGTTATTAATGTAGTCACTCTATTGTACAATAGATCTTTTTTTGATGAGCCACATCCCCAGCCCTTTTTGCATTTTTTTATTTTGAGACAGGGTCTTGCAAAGTTGCTTTGGGACTTGTTAAGTTGCTGAGGCTGACCTTGACCTTGCAAACCAGCTCAAAATGGATCTTTTGAATTTATTCTTCCTGTCTGAAATTTTATATCCTTTGACCAAAAGAAAATAAGAATTTTTTTTCATAGTGCTGGAAATAGAATCCAGGGCATTATGCATAAAAGGCAAGTGCTCTGCCCCTGGACCACATACCCAGCCCTAAATGAGAATTTTAATGTTACATTCCTCCTCTCATAGATGTGGGCATATTGGCACACAGTCACATGCATGTGCAAGTACACATACTTCTCTTTTTCCACTTAATGTATCTCACATCAATTTTTCTTTGGTGGGACATATTCTCCAGTAACTTCCTAGAAGGGGTGTCTAGAGGTGAGTTTCTTTATTTTTTTAATGCACTTTTATTTTTTAATACATTTTTTTAGTTGTTGATGGACCTTTATTTAATTTATTTATTTATTTCTAGATGGTGCTGAGAATCAAACCCAGTGCCTTGCACATGCTAGGCAAGTGCTCTTCCACTGAGCCACAACCCCAGCCCTGGAAGGTGAGATTCTGGAAAGTTTACCTGTCTCAAAATATCTTTAGTCCACTCTTATACTTGACTGATGGTTTAGCTGAAATTTAATATTTGAAATAAAGTAATCTTTTTCTTTTTTTTGGACAGCATGCCTTTATTTTATTTGTTTTTTTTTTTTTTTAATGTGATGCTAAGGATCAAACCCAGTGCCTCACACGTGCTAGGCAAGCAGTTTGCCTCTGAGCTATAGCCCAGCCCCAAAATCTTATTCTTAGAATTTTGAAGGCATTCTTCAAGTATTCAGAGTTGCTTTTGGGAAGCTGAATGATATTCTGTTTTAGTCTGTTTTGTTCTGCTATGACAGAACTACACAGACCTGGTAATTTATAAAGTAAAGACATTTATTTGGCTCACAGTTCTAGAAGCTGGCAAGTCCAAGTGTTGGCAACTGCTTAACATCTGTCGAGGGTCTTCTTGCTAGGTCATTCTGTGGTAGAATGTGGAAGCCAAATGGGCATGCACATACGTGAGAAGAGCCAGAAAGCCTTCAGGCCTTTTAAAATTGGAATTAATTCATGAGTGTGGAGCCCCATAACCTAAACACCTCCCATGAAGCTCCACCTCCCAACAGTGTTGCACTGAGGATTCAGTTTCTAACAAAGCCTTTGGGGAATACACTGAAGCCATAGCATATGTCCCACTCCTTGGCATATACCCAAAGGACGTAAAATCCTCATACTCTAGTGATGCAGCCACATCAATGTTTATAGCAGCTCTATTCATAATAGCTAAACTATGGAACAAAACTAGGTGCCCTTCAACAGATGAAGGGATAAAGAAAATGTGATACACACACACACACACACACACACACACACACTGGAATATTACTCAGCCATAAAGAAGAATGATATTTTGGCATTTAAATGAATAGATCTGGAGATTATCATGTTAAATGAAATAAGCCAATTCCAAAAAATCAAAGGCCAAATGTTCTCTCTGATATGTGAATGCTGACTCACAATGGGGGGGAGGTGGGAAGTGGAGGTTCACCAGATTGGACAGGGGGGAGTGGGGAAAGAAAATAGAAAAGACAGTAGGATGCATCAGACATAACTTTCCTATGTTCATATATGAATACACAACCAGTGTAACTCCATATCATGTACAACCACAAAAATGGGAAGTTATACTCCATATATGTATTTTATGTCAAAATGTATTCTACTATCATGTATAGCTAAAAAGAACAAATAACAAATAAAAAAAAACATAGCATATGTGATCTGATATTTCTTCTGGATGTTTTTATGATCTTCTCTTTGTCCCTTGATGTTCTGAAATTTCACCATACTATCCTTGGAAGATTTTTTTTTTTAAATGTTCATTGCAGCTTTATTTATAATAGCCAAGGATTGGAAATGACCCAAACCTTCATCTGAAGATAGATTTTTTTAAAAAAAATTAATTGTGTAAAAATCTATGAGTATTTAAATCTGAAAA